ACCACCCAGGCATCCCTAAAATAGTGTAATTTAATAGTAATTGTGTTAAGGTAGAGATATAATATAGCCACTCTAAGATACATACAGCCAATTCTTATTCCCAGTAGTTATGCACTATAAAGTTACAAAGAACACTGAATTAGCAAATACTGAAACACTGTTCCTGGAGGAAATATATATATATATATATATACACACACACACGTATCACATCAATTGCAATCTCACATCATAAAAACAACTCATCCTGGTACATTCTGTTTCCTTTATTTACAAAGGAAAAAAGAGATTCAGAAGTGCTAAGTGATCTGCCTGAGGCTGCCCACAACCAGAACTCAATCCCCACCCAGAGAGGGAGCTCCCTGTGTTCTGCTGTGCAGTCTCGCTACAGTCTACCCACTCTGGTCATATCTGCAAGAAAGCAGAAGCAAGAAGGCAGCTGGGAACCTCAGCTAAGAACGTCCACATGGGGTGACTCAAAATTTTCCCTCTCTTTGCAAGTCCACGAATGACCACCAAAGTACCATGAGTATTAATTTGGGGGTTACAAATCAACTTAGCGACTAGGTGAATTTGCAAATATAAAATGTGTGAATAATGAGGGTCAACTGTATCTGTTTTTAATGCAGACCATTTACTATTTAAATAATAACTATCAAAAAGAGCTGACAAGGGGCGCCTTGGTGGCTCAGTCAGTTAAGCGTCTGCCTTCAGCTCAGGTCATGATCTCGGGGTCCTGGGATTGAGCCCCAAGCTGGGCTCCCTGCTCAGTGGGAAGTCTGCTTCTCCCTCTCCCTCTGCCCCTCCCCCTGCTCATGCATGTGCTCACGCTCATGTGCACGCGCTCTCTAATAAAGTGAAAATCTTTAAAAAAAAAAAAAAGAGCTGACAAAAGCATTTTGATCCAAACAGAATGGCGAGAGTACTGTGTGTCTCTTACCTTGTTTTTGAGCTTGGAAAGGTCTCCCATCTCCATTATGGTACTTTGTGCTCCTATCGGCCACAAAGCCAGAAGATAAAGTCACATTAGTGGGCTGGTTTCTCATTTTCTTAGCATGTTTTCTTTCTTTTGCATTAGACATTTCTGGAAAAAAAGTAATAAATTTAGTACAAGCAAAGGGAACTTCCATGCAAAATAAAAATACATTTAGTAAATAAATATTCATGTAACTCAAAATTTGATTCTTCATTTATTATAGGTGTGCTGATGATATCAAAATGTTATCACGATACTGATCTACAGCAGAGATTTATCACCAGGGGCATCTCTAGGGGAGCCATGAATGGTATTAACACCAAAAACCCAATTCAATAGGAGAAAAATAATTCTATTGATGGAAGAGACCATTATTAGTATATTTCATATTGCATCACCAGAAATTTCAATCATATCCCAATGCTGACACTGCATAAAGTCTACTGAAAGAATGAAAAATGAGGTACAAGATAAGAACCCTCTGCCACAGCGAAAATTCTTAGGTGACACAGGAGCCACCTGAATCAATGAAATACAATACACACTATTCTGATATGATACCCTCTCTACAAAAACTGAACATAAATTACTGATGCTTTCATTTCTGCCACAGAGACAAGGCCAGCTGTACCTTTAATTTATAACAGCCAAAAGATTTCACTTTAAAATAAGGATAAAGGACAAAACCCGGGGGAGCCTGATGGCTTTACTCAGTAGTTCGCAACTCTCAAACTCAACAACCCCCTTTTTCTTTTTCTTTTTTCAGATTTATTTATTTATTTGAGAGAGAGAAAGAGCAGTGGGGAACAGGCAGAGAGAGAGGGAGACAGTCTTGGGCAGACTCCCTGCTGAGTGTGGAGTCTGACACGGAGCTCAATCTCACGACCGAGATCATAACCTGAGCCGAAATCAAGAGTCAGACACTTAACTGACTGAGCCACCAGGTGCCCCTCCCCCCTTTTTTCTGATTGGCTTGAAACACCTGTTTTCTATTTTGAAATGAAATTCATTAATAATATAACATACTAGACACATAACTTTTACCAATATATCCCCTATAATATGTGCCCTAACTATAACATAAAGGAGAACTAAATAATAAAATAATGTGTACTTTCTGTATGTAAATATTTCACCACTCCTGGGTGACGTTATGTAATGTATGTTATGTAACAGGGAGATATTCTGAACTCAGGGGTAGAATCCCCACAACACAGGCACCAGTACCAGCACTGGCACGATCTGCCAAAAGCTGCGGAAGAGGCCTGCGAGCCCCATGCCATAGGCATTAACTCTGTTCTTACTGACTGGGGGGACATCTGAAGAATCCTGTGCAAAGGGGGGCCTGGGTGGCTCAGTCGGTTAAGCGACTGCCTTCGGCTCAGGTCATGATCCCGGAGTCCCGGGATCGAGTCCCGCGTCGGGCTCCCTGTTTGGCAGGGAGTCTGCTTCTCCCTCTCCCACCCCCCCTGCTTGTGTTCCTGCTCTCGCTCGCTCTCTCTCTCTGTCAAAAAAAAAAAAATCTTGGGCGCCTGGGTGGCTCAGTCCTTAAGCATCTGCCTTCTGCTCAGGTCATGATCCCAGGGTCCTGGGATCGAGCCCCGCATCGGGCTCCCTGTTCAGGTGGGAAGACTGCTTCTCCCTCTCCCACTCCCCCACATGTGTTCTCTCTCTCTCTCTC